CTGCAGCTGTGCGCTTCCCATGAAGGAGCCCATAGAGGTCGGAGAGAACGAGGACTGCAGTCAGCTGGTGGCCACGGGTTTGGCGACATGCTGCTCCTGCAGGACAGGAGACGCCATTGGAGAAAACGTGCAGGTCGTCGACCTGAAAGAACCTCTGCTGTGTGAGAGCTGCTCGTCAGACGTCCTGCCAGCCTGCGATTACATGGATCTGCAGCGCTCCCAGGAACTCTGTCTGGACTACAGCAGCCCTGCTGGCAAAGAAGCCATGTCGGAGATGAGAGGCATCTATGGGGAGCGAGGTCCGGTTGAAGGGCTGTATAGACAGAACGAACCTTGTTGCTGCAGCATAGACTCCACCACCGTTCCACCTCTGCTGTCGGTCAGCGCTAATGACCAGGGCCTTTCACTGATCCACAGCGATGACCGCAAACTGTCCGACCCCGATGCAGACTTCCAGAACCAGTGCTCAGAATCCGCTCTCACATCTGGTAAGATATTATCGCATGCAAAAATAGTGACAAAACGAATGAAAAGCTGTCTGTGCATCTGAGGTATTTGAAGCTGTTGCTTCATAGTGCAGCACACGCAAATCTGTTAAACTCGTTTAGCACATGTGTTTGCGCCAGATTTACAAGCACTGTCATGCGATTCTGTTTCAATTGGACAAATACGGCGTGATATGATGTGAAAGATTGGAAATGATCAAAATCATGACCTCAGAATAGCAGGTCAAAAATGCAGAGTGTGGAAATCATTCCCGTCTCAGTGCTTTAATCATGAAACAGATGGCCGAGCTAACAAACTAGCAGCACACCATTGTATCGGCTGATGTGTTGCACTGGTTTTCTGGCCATATATCACGTTTCTACATTGATGGATCCCTGTGTAAACTTTTAAAAGTGCTAGAAAACAACCATTATTAAATGTGAATCTTTCTTTACTAATAGTTTTAGCTACTATTAATAAAATACTATATAAATAATAAAATTAATTATAAATTGTGTGTGTATATATATATATATATATATATATATATTGTGTGTGTAT